TTTCAGAGAATGGGGAAAGCAGTGAGGCAAATGAGATGAGGGAAAGTGAGGGGGGCATGAGATGGTATCAGGAGAGAGGGACATCCCAGAAAGCCATGAGGAGCCGGCGTCAGGGCCAGGAGGAGAAAGGAACAGGCCATGCAACCAGGGAACCCAGCTGGAAAACCTAAGGGAGGAAATAGAAAGTCAAAAAGGCATGAAAAACAGGCATTAAATGGAGTAAACAGACAATCAAAAAGGCAGTACAACTCCGTTTTTCAGTGGGTTCAACAGGCTACACGTTTCTTCAGGACACGAGTATCCCTCTGCCTGATGTGAGAACCCTGCAAAGACAAATGCAGCCCGTTAACTGGAACCAGGTGTGTTAGGAGAGGTGTGTGACATGCTCAGTTATTGAAGGTAAAAAATCTGACAGAGATGGAAAGAGAGTGTGTGCTTACTGTGGATGAGATGGCAATCACTCCAGGCGTGCATCACTCCATCACAGACCCAACTGGGTTTTACCACCACCGTTGTTCCTGGCCAGCTCTCCGATCAGCCACTATGAAAACATGAAGATGGACACACAACACAGTTTAACCTTTAATTGTTACATAAGATTTTTGTTTTAGTTACTCTGACATTTATTTATCGATAGTTGTGTTATTGTTAATTCTTATTTCTTATCAAAATTGCAAATGCTAATATTATAAAGCAAGTGGAAATGAGCAGTTTTATGGAAAATGTCTAATTTTTAAAAGTTATTGTTCGACTACTGTTCTTGAATTATCTTAATTCTATTCTTATTACTTGAGTCCACAAAACAGAACAACATATCTTCTTATGTTCGTAATCCTGTTTGTCTCATGCTTCAGCAGTTTGTTGCAGTCAGTGTTATTAACTGAAAAATATTAAATAATTACTTGTCTTCACAATCACATTTTCTTTATTATTGGTCTCTCCATTTGTGCTTCCATTCTGATGCATGTTCGTGTTGATACAGCAACCAGCAACGTATTTTACAAAAAATCCCAAATAAAACTAATAGTGTAAAAAGTTTATAACCTATTTCAAACTGTGGGGAATATTTTTAAAACATAGAATCAAACAAACTGAAATAAACCCGTCTACAGCTCGTCCTCCTGCTCACAACCAACAAGCTGCACACAGTTAGCTCATTAAAGGTGATCTAGCTAAAACTGGCTACATAAAATATCATTGTTGGCTTATTTTGGTACGAAGTGGTTAGCTAACGCTTCACAATGCAACAAAATGATGACATTTCATCAACTTACCGGAGAAAATCCTTCCGAAACACCGAAAATGAACTACGTTCAATGCAGCAGTGGGGCTGGTTGGAACTATTCGAAGCTACATGAACCACGAAGAGGAGACGGCAAGATGGCGAACTAAGCGGCTGTCCTTAACTTAGCTCTGGTGCAAGGCACCTTTTAACCCTCCTTTTTTGACGCTTTGTTCCCTCAAAAACCTTACGCTGACTTCACAAAGATGCCAGAAGGACAAAAGAGAAAGCATGTCTTCCCAGAATGATAAAATACAAGATTTGGCTCCAGCTGCGGATGACCACGACTACTGTCTTTCAGTCATGGAGCTTGAAGGTGGCGGTGGGGGAAAAAGAAATCTGGAGGAAATTAATGATTTGCTTCTCTTGACTCCGTCTAAAGGTGACCATCCGAGAAAGATTGCTAGACCCAGCCCCACAGCGAGCCACATCCTGGTAGCTATTCAAGCTCTCCACGTGCGATTTGATAAACAAGATGACAAAATGGCAGACATTAACAACAAGTTATCTGAGAATGCCTCGTTGATTGCCAGTCTTGCTGAGTCCATTGAGTTCAATGCAACTGAAGTCCGTGATTGTAAACATAAAATTACGGGCTTGGAGAAGGAAGCCTCAACCTTACGAAGAGAAGTTGACGATCTCAAAAAAAAGGCAAGAGAACGAGACCGGTACTCACGAAGGTGGAATCTAAGAATTTAAGGAATGAAAGAAGGCATGGGCGAAGATATCAGAAAAGAGGTGATCAGAATTCTCGCCAAGATTGCCCCAGAATGGTTGGATAATTTGGAGTACATCGTCGACACTGTGCACCGGATTGGAAGAAAAGAAGAGGGCAGAAATCGCCAAGTCATAATTCAATTCACACAGCGCCTACACTGAGATGGAATATGGAAGAAGTCCAAAAAGGCTCAGATTTGTGAGAGTGAAAAAATCTGTTTTGACGAAGGAGGATCGTATGGAGAGGGAGAAGGTTTGGCCGAAAATTTTACAAGCCAGAAATGCGGGGGAGAAGGCTTACTACAGGGGAGCTGTCGGTTATATCAACGGCCGTCACGTTCTGGCGGACGGCTGAAAGGTGTTCACCTCTACTTGTTTTCTGAATTCTACTTAAAGAGGGACGTTTGGCAGTTATGAATGGGATGGGAGGTGCCGACACCACTGTTCTTTCACCTTTCACTAAACAGGAAAGTAAACTAAATTTTTCTTTTTTGTATATCTTCCAAGTTTGATATTCTTAATATTTTTAACTCTATTTTTGTTTATTTTTAATGCTACGCACGTGTTTATCCTTTGTGTCGTTGAATGTTAGAGGTCTCAGGGATAATGTTAAAACAAAAGCAATGTTTATGTTTGTCAAAGGGCTAAAAGCGAATTGTGCCTTACTGCAAGAAACTCATTCAAGTGACGCCACCTTCTGGTCAAATCAGTGGGGTGAAAAAATCCTCTTCAGCCACGGATCAAACCACTCTGCTGGAGTTGCTCTCTGTTTCTACCGATGTCCAGGGAAGGTCGTGACTTTTCAGGCTGATATTTCAGGACACTGGCTGGCAGTTGTATTGAGTATTGATGGTTCATTTGTGATTCTAGTAAATGTTTATGGGTACTCCTCTGTAACTCTAAATAAGCTCATGCTGGGAAAAATAACAGATGTCCTTTCCGAGTATAAACTTTTATACCACACAGACCATGTGTTACTAGGCGGTGATTTTAATCTTGTTCCAAAGATAGAAACCCTCCTAGATACAGTATTAATCAGTGCAATCCAACTCTAACAAAATTCATTGCTTCAAACAATTTAAGTGACATATGGAGAGAGAGAAACCCTGGAGTTACTCAATTCTCTTGGATTAAACCAAATGGTAATAATATGTCCAGATTAGATCTGTGGTTGGGCTCGTCTGTACTATATAGATACGTTTCACATGTTTCCATATCTGCAGCCCCATTGACAGATCATAGTATTATTACTCTTAAACTTACCCCTGAAAATAAAACACAATTTAAAAAAGATTATTGGAAATTTAATCCAGATCTGTTAATTGATGATGGGTATGTTAAGATGGTTAAAGACCTCCTCCATAAAATGTACAATGATGGAACAATTGGTACTTACACACACAGATGGGAATTTTTTAAATTTAAAGTTAGAGAATTTTCTATTACATTTAGTAAAATGAAAAGTAGACAACAAAAGGAGTTTGAAAGTAAACTACTGTAGCGTTATGAATATTATAATTGTCTGCCCTTAACAGCTGCCCCTTCACACAGTAACATCGCCAAGGTCGGACGCTTGGTTCAGTATGTTCACATTCCAGGAGAAGAGACAGAGAAGAGAAGAAGAACACTTTCCATTAATTAATCAAAGTACTTTATTCGTGATAAAGCTAATCAGAGCATATGTTGATCATTAATAATCAGGTGAATGATATGTGAAATAAAGATGTCATGAGTTATGTGTTTAATGAATAAACAGGACTGCACCAGACAGACTGATCTACATTACCATGGAAACGCATGACACATTGTTTTCAACCAATCAGAACTTTCGTCTGTCATAGAGAGAATCTGGGTTGTTTACTTAAGTTGTCCAATCTGGTTTACTAAGATTTATAAACAACTGGGAGATATAAAACAAGGCAACGCCATTTTATAGGCAGTTCCATTTTAACCTCAGTTCTGTTCAATTGGAGGTCCTAAGGAGTTCCATCGTCATCATTAAGAAAGTTACAGGCTGGCCAGCTGTACTTTCCTATTTTAAGCTGAGAACTGTCAAGCTGGAGATTTCCGTCGTTTGAACCAACAAGACGATGTTCCTTCAAAATAAGAGTGAACTTGCTGACGCCTGCCGACTGCTACCGGAGTCGACCCACAGACGGGCTTTGTAGTGCTGCGACCACTGATTCACCAGCTCCGGTACATCCGAGGGTCCGAGGACCTGGCATTTCCTGATCTACACGGGAGGCTCCACAGGGTACGTGGTCACGGCACAAAATGGCGGCTCATGTCATCAGCTTCTGAAGCCTCGTGGTAGCCTAGTCATAACAACCAGATTCGCTACGCCAGCCTAGAGATTGTGAACAAAACACACACACACACACCAACACGAAACATCCAAATCCATATGCATCCACCATTGAGATAGTCCTGGTCAAGGGCGTCAGTTTGTTTTCAGAATTGCTGGGGACAATAGCCATACACTTGAGTGGGGCTTAAAAATTGCTGGGGACAATAAAGTAGGCTAGTACAGGGGTCGGCAACCCGCGGCTCTGGAGCCGCATGCGGCTCTCGGTGCTTGTAAAATAATGACTGGATATTTAAATAAAATGCTTTATATTTTACTGCATTAATTTTACATCTGTATGCCAATTCTAAATGTAAAGATTGTCTGCGTAAACCTGAACAGTTCCAACCCGGTCTGTGAGACCGGGTTGACGCGTCACGCTTGTGCGTAATCATGCGCTTCTGAGCTGCTTTCTGACCTTCCCCACCTACAAAGTTTAATTACAACAATCAAACGTGACAGAGCCTGGATTTGTATTCTGAACAGCCTAAACATGTTTTAAAAAGAAACGTATGACAAAAGTGGCACCTGCTCAGTAAAACCACCAACAGGGTGAATATTGAAGGCAGAGATGGGCTACAGCTTCTGGATCCACTTTATTTAATCGTTTTATTGATGATCTTTTTATGAAAGATAACTTTGACGTACACGAGCGACCAGGCGCGTTGCAAGCTTTTCAAAAGTGTGGTGGATGTTGTCTGTGCCTAAAATAATTTCATGTTATTCATCCTGTTAGTTTAATTTCCATAATAGCGGAGCAGGTGCGAATTTTAGACGCGTCACGCATGTCTCAGTTTTAAACATGTTTAAACTGTTCAGAATACAAATCCAGGCTCTGTCTCGTTAGATTGGTGTAACTAAAGTTTGTACTGAATGAAACTTTACATTAAACCATGTTGAAAAGAAAAGGATCCGATTAAATCGTCTCCCCCTCATTTACAGTCAGGAAGTACAGTGCAGTGCGCGTGGCTCTGGGGTTAATCAGGTTTAATTGTTTCTCTTTGCAACAATCTTCACAAGAAGGCAAAACAGTTAAACGACAGGTTACAGATATTTCCATTTGACTGTTTATTTTGACGGATAAACTCAAGGATGTTGGTTGATTTCCTCCCACTGAAGCGGTCTGGAAACCCGGTCTCTCTGAGGGATGTGTCACTTGGAAAATGTTATTTTTATGAAATTATGAAAGTTTGGCTGAATAGCGCTTGTTCCCGTCTCCAATATGGAGACGCATGACGCATCCAGTCGCCTCTTCAGCTCAGAAAGCACCTGTAGAGATATTTGGTCACGCACAAAGTTCATGTGGAGCAGAAGCGGTCGGGCTACGGCAGGTGAAACGTTCCTAGCCTACATGAAGTGAAACTGTTTAATTGTAACATTAATGTGTTACTGGACACGCTGGTCTGGTTGGTTAGACCAGTGTTTGAAGTGGAAAACACACACACACACACACACCAATTAACATAATGCTGATAGCGTGGACTAGAAGACAGGTGATGGTTTATGTATTTAAATGATGATCAGGCTGCTGTAAAATGTAATCTCCATCCACATCCAGACACATTTATCCTCTATTCTTTCTCTAGTTGCTCTGCTCTTGTCTGGGATGACAGCTGACGGTGCGCGCGGTGCGCCTAGTGGCTGTGATGCACATTTTACGCATTTGGAGAGGTGGGCCGGATGCTTTTCTTTTACTGGAAGATGGTCCACTTAACGCACGGGTGTAGACTAATTAATGACAAATGAATGAAAATTAAATTGTGAGTTTTTACTTCATATTTTATAAATAAAAATGACGGGAAAAACATTTATGACGTCTTTTTAAACGAAATTTTCTAGCGCGACCTGCCTGCTTCACTTAAGTCACTGCTTATTAAGGTCCGTCCAAAATTACCGTGGCCCACCCAAAAATGAAAACCTGGCGCTGCGCCCGTTATAAACCTCTGCAAATTGTTGTTCTTCACTTTATCAAACTCAGACTTTGTACAGCTAAATTCAAGATGTAAAATTATGAATTCAGTCGAGCTCTTCCGTCCCTCCCTCTCCTGCTCTCCTGGAAACCCGACATCGGTTGTCAGAAGTGGAGGTGAAGAAGGAGATGAGGCAAACAGAGTGAGTGCAACGTAAAGAAACCAGACTGGAGTGGAGGTGAGCAAACAGCTGGAAAAGTGTGGGTGTTGAATCCCCCACGGGTGCGACGCCCATGGTACCGGCTGCTGTCACCTGGTTGTGAGCAGCTCTCTGCTGTCTGAGGGTAGGCCCCGCCCACAACGCTGCGCTGCTGTGGCTCCCAGTGTTTTCATTACTGTGGGAAACGGGTAATAATGGCTCTTTGATGGGAACAGGTTGCCGATCCCTGGTAAAAGATCTGAGCTGGTAAAACAAAAATCCTCATCAGCAGGCTTTTTTGAAAGTGGGGGGGACACAGCTGCCAATCACAAATTTTGCCGGGGACATGTCCCCGGCGTCCCCGGTTAAAATGACGCCTATGGTCCTGGTAGATTGTAAGAATTTATAATTATAGAAATTAAAGATTCTTAAACGATCCCAACTCTCTCTTTTCTTGTCTCTCAGTCAATACAGAGTGTTTAAGTAAACTCCCTGATGATAAAAACAACCACTTCTGATTATAATATTTTGATCTAATTATTGTGTATAAATATACAACTACAGATCACTACACTACTTTACAATTTAAATAACTATTGTAATAGACAGTTTATGTCAGAGGCTTATAAGAAATCCCCTTTGTCTTTTCAAGCTCAATTAGATGATTTATACAAGAAAAAGGCTCATGGAGCATACATTAGAGCTCGTGCAAAATGGATAGAAGAAGGTGAATAAAGTACTTCATATTTCTACAATCTGGAGAAACGGAGGCAAGAGAAGAAATCTATTTATACATTAATTGTAAATGGGGAAGAATGCACAAATCACAAGACTATAGTAGCAGAAGAAATACATAAGTTTTATTCAAATTTATACTCATCTAAATATTTAATTACTGATTCAATTACCTTTTGTGATCAGATTGAACCTTATATTCCAAAAATCGATTCTGTATTCAGAGAAATTTGTGATTCTGACATATCACTGGATGATTTAGATCAAGCCTTAAACAAACTGAACATGGGCAAAGCTCCTGGTCAGGATGGCTTGACTGCCATCTTTTATAAATTCTTCTGGAAAGAAATAAAAGATTTTTTCTTCAAAACTATCAGGGAAACTATTAGTAATGAAACATTAGCAACAACAATGAAACAGGGTCTTATTTCCCTTATTCACAAACCTGGTAAAGATTAATCGATAATCTACGACCAATTACTCTATTGAATACAGATTATAAAATTCTTGCTCTTGTTATTGCAAATAGATTAAAGGACGGCTTAGATCAGATTATTAGTGAAACACAATCTGGGTTCCTTAAGAATCATTCTATCCACAATAATATTAGATTAGTTTTAGATCTATTGGATTATAATCACTTAATTGAAGATGATGGTGTGATTCTTTTTTTAGACTTTTATAAAGCATTTGATATGGCCGAACATCCTTTTATTTTAAAAGCTTTACAGTATTTTGGTTTTGGTAAAATTTCATAGATTTCATTTCTTTGTTATACTCCGATATCAATAGTTCTATTTCTTTACCTTTTGGAACGTCTAAACGATTTAACGTCAGTCGAGGAATCCGCCAGCTTCTCCGTTACTTTTCATTATTGTAACGGAACTTTTAGCTATTTTCATGAAATACAATCCAAATATTCAACCACTGAACTTGATAGGAGCCCCATTGATCATAAGTCAATTAGCAGATGATACTACACTATTTTTAAAGAACACGTCACAGGTTCCTCTCGCACTAAATGAAATTTCACTATTTTCAAAGGCCTCTGGTTTGTACCTGAATATCAGAAAATGTGAATTATTAAATATTCATGATTGTGAACCCAGTATCTCTCTTGACATAACTATTAAAACTGAAATTAAATATTTGGGTATTATAATCTCAAAGAATACAAATAATACAAAATCTAAATTTTGAGCATATTACCTAGAAATCTAAAAAGATCCTAATCAGCTGGTTACAAAGAGACCTCTCCATCTTTGGACGCGTCTTACTTACCAAAACAGAAGGCATCTCTCGACTGATTTATCCATCACAATGCTTATATGTTTCCAATAGACTAATCAATAATATAAATCAAATTAACTTTAATTACATTTGGAGAAACAAGCTAGGAAGAATGATGTAGTGAGATCATTTGAAGAAGGAGGTTTGAATGTGATTGATTTTGAAGCAATGGATGGTTCCATCAAACTCAAATGGTTGCAGTCTTTCATAAATAACTCAAACAGTATTTGGTTTTATTTCCCTAAAATAATTTTCGAGAAGCTTGGTGGCATTGAATTTCTCTTAAAGTGTGACTTTGACATTTCCAAAATACCTATTAAATTATCTAATTTTCATAAACAGGTTCTTCAGTACTGGAAAATTATTTTTCTCCACATACAAATTCAATTTGGAACAACAGATGTATATTGATAAATAGAAAATAAATTTTTATAAGGATTGGATGGATCATGGAATTTGGACAGTTTTACACCTGTTAGACAATGATGGCAATGATGGTATAATAAATTCATAGACAATTATGGCGTATCATGTACTCAAAGTAAATTCATTAAAGCTGTGAAAGCCATTCCCCCTGCAATGATTCAGATTGCTAAAGCCAGTTTAACCTATTCTTCCTCTGTCCTTAATTATTGATGATCGTCAATTTAAAGGAAAGTCATGCAATAATAAATTTTTAAGGACAATTCTAACCAAACAACTTTTTCCTTCTCAATTAAAAAGAGAATATTTATTTAAAGATTATAATTCTAGGTTTTTGATTAAGTATCTTTCTTTTCCAATTCCACCAAAAGCAAAAGAAAATCACTCTAAAATTTTAAATGCCATATACCCGTCCAAGGACTATCTTCATAAGAAATTCAATATAGATACGAACACATGCACTTTTTGCAACACTGATATTGAGAATACAGAGCACCTTTTTTTATGCATGTAACAGTTCCAGATCTTTTTGGGATGATTTTCAGTACTGGTTAACCTCTAAAAATATTGACTGCCCTTCTCTAACCTTTCAAGTAATTAGATTTGGCCTACAAACAGAAAATAAGAAAATAGAATTTGGGATTAACAACTTATTTATAGTTGCAAAATTTTTCATTCATAAATGTCGCTTCTTAAAAATTACTCTGATTTTTGCTGTTTTTAAAAATGAAGTCCTTCTATTGAAGGCTTCATTAGATAAGTGTAAATTAAATAAAGCTCACATCTTACTTGAATTTTTGATGCTGCTTTTCAACTGATGTAGCTAGACTGTATGTGCATACTTCTGTTTTTGCTTTGTTTTCTTTGTTTACTTATATGGAAGGTCATTTAATGTACTTGTATGCTGCTTTATGTTATTTCTCACCTATACTGTTCTTTTCTGTTGTTCTTTGTTAGATGGCTGCTTTGTTCTTAACCGCCTGTACTTATTCATATCTTGTTGATTTGTAAGATATGCGCTGTATTTGTGAATTTGTACAATAATAAAAAAAAGCTACATGAACCACATGACTTCCGCATTCCATTCTTTCCATAGGAGTGTCGTAACTCTCTCTACAGCTCTGACAGAACCCTGCCCTCCTCTCCCAATGATTGGACAGGAATTCGAGAAACGTGATTGGTAGCTAAGACTCGTGCTCTCATTGGTTCCACCCTGGTTCCTCCCACCGAAGCTAGAATAGAGACAAAATGATCTGTAACACTGTAGATTTGAGGTTTGTACCTGTAGAATGAAATGTGTGTTTTGAGAGTTTTGATTTCAAACATGTACATTGATTTTTTTATTTTGGAAGTCTGCTAGGTAAAAACCCGAAAGTTTCATGTTTCTGAATGAATGTTTGCTGTTACAAAATGAGTAGTAAATGTACAAAATAAAACTCTGATTTTACAAAATAAAAAATACATGTACAAAATGAAAATTTCCTGGTACAAAACAAGAAATACAAGTACAAATTTAGAATTACAAGTTAGGAAACTAAAGTTACAAGTTACGAATCCAAAGTTACATGTCATGAAATATGTTCCAAGTTACAAAACTTGGTACAAGTTACATTGAATATTGTCCCAATCCTAGCTCCATACATCCAAAGTGTTCATGACTCCAGGATGTGAAAGACCAGGCACACGTGGCTGCATGAGGTCCCAGATGAAAACCACTCCTAAGCAAAAACGCTAGAGGTCACCTCAATGGTCCCAAACTTTCGGCAATCCAGTGATGACAAGAGTTGTGCTATATAGAAGGTGCTGTTCCATTACATGGCCTAAAGGTAAGACATGTCAGAAGAACATCAAAGAATATGGGCTGGCTAGGGGACGTTTACTGAACCATGGTTTCTATGGCACACTTCATTTGCTTTCCTAAATGTTTTGCAAACCTGCAGAAATTATCGACAACAAAGTTATACAGAAAATAGCTAAAAGTTACCAGAAATATTGCTAAGTTGTTTGCCAGGTGCTTTTGGGATAAAACTTAAGAAGGGAGTCTGAAAAGCTTTTAGAAATAAGCTGGCGACTATGTGGGAGATGTGCAGAGTACAGAAGGGAGGAGCAAATAATTGGCTTGTTTGGTTTTTATAATCATTCAAAACCCAGATTGCAATTGTGATTAAAATTCGATTAACTGAGCAGCCCCAGTCTACAATGTCAACTATAGACAATTTCTGAAATCACTAGCCTCCTTCACAAGTTTATCCTAAGATGTGTTCGTCCTAGTTCTTTCTATCCATCCTTTTGACTATTCTTCTGCTTCAGCTGCAACGCAAGTCCTACGCCTAAAATGGCGCAATGGGGTGTGGTTGACATGCAGGTCACATGTCTGACAAAGACCGATTTTATCAAAGTATCTTTTCTACCAACCTTTCAATATTAAATTTAATTGTCAAGTTAAATTTGACAAGAAAATGAACCTTTTCTTGTGTTTAGTTTAATGTGAGTTGATGCATTTATCACCACATGTAGACTAAGCTAGGAGCTGACTTAGCTTAGACTGGTCTGAACAGCACCTTTTGTTAGATTATGTCATTCACACTTTGACAAATTAAACAAAGTGTTACATTAATTGTGGATAGGTGAAAGAAAATGTTATAAGCCAACTGTTACATTAAAGTACTAATTTTTCTGAAAGAAAAGCAGTTACTTTAGGCTAAAGGTTGTTTTTAGTATACAAAGGTAGAGGTTCAATAAATGAGCTCTGCTCAAATAGTAAGTAGGCTATGTGTCTGCTCCTGAACATTACAGTTCACACTGTGATAACTATACATATTAAAGCAAAGTGTTTTCAACTTTGTGCTCAATGTCTTTCTTTTCTCTGCAGACCACACACACACACACACACACACACACACACACACACACACACACACACACACACACACACACCAGGGAGCCAACTTCCTGTCCCTAATTACCTTCTTTTTTAAAGGGGCAACATCATCTAATGCCACACGTAAAGAGGAATTAACATGATGAACTAAGGCATCAATTTGTGAGGGGCTAGAACTGAAAATATTGCCCTCTGCTACATGCCTCTGAGATGCTGAGGACAGTAAAGATGGAACAGTTGATTTAAAAGATGCAACTGCATTGTCAGATAGAGACCGACTATGGTGAAATTTACTTTCATGTCTCCAGAACTCAGTTATAAAAAACTCAAAGGTTATCAGAAAGTGGTCAGAGAGGACTGGATTATATGGAAAGATCGTTATTTCTTCACACTCTATGCTATAAGTCAGCACAAGGTCTAATGTATGATGGCAGGAGTGGGTGGAGCTATGTATTCTTTGAGTAAAACCAATAGAGTCTAAGATATTACTAAAGGCTACACTGAGGCTATCATTTTCAATGTCCACATGAATGTTAAAATCCCCCACTACAATGACCTCATCAGTATTTTAGCACCAAGTCAGATAAAAAAAATCAGAGATCTGATCCAAAAACTCAGAGTAAGGGCCTGGTGGACGATACAAAACTACAAACAAACAAGAGTGGTTTTACAGTTTTGCAATCTGGATTAGTAAAACTAAGAATAAGATGTTCAAACTAACTGTAGCTATTAATTGGTAAGGGACTGATTAATAAGTCCGAATGAAAAATGGTTGCTACTCTTCCTCCTCGCCCTGTACTTCGAACAATATGATGATTTGAATAATTAGAAGGAGTCGACTCGTTTAAACTAACAAAGTCCTCTTGCTGCAGCCAGGATTCTGTGAGAGAGAGCAAAGAAATCTGATTATCACAAATCCAATTAACTAACAAAGTCTTAGAAAAAATAGACCTAATGTTCAATTACCCACATTTAATTTTTCTAGTTTTCTGCTCAGTTGAATTTGTTCTAATATTTATGAGATTTCCATGATTTGCTTTATTAAGCCTGATATTTAATCTATGTGATTTTGGCCATGGGCAGGACACTGTCTCTATGGGGTAGTGGGTGGGTAACAGTACAGAACCTGCAGAGGGGTGTGTTAAACTACGACTCTGCTTCCTGGTCTGGACCCTGGGTTGTTGGGATCCCAACCCGAGAGATGACTTGAAACAGTGCCTGCGGCACTGCTTCAATTCAATTAAAAAATACTTTATTAATCCAAGAGGGAAATTAGAGTTTCAGTACACACAATTAGAGTTTCAGTACACACAATTCTGAGATCAGACATACATACATACAGACACATGACTGTGGTCATTTGCAACCCAAGTCGCGCTACCGTAATAGATCAAGAGGGTTTATATGAGGATAGAGTCAGGTGGAGGGAAAAAAGGCACTTCAGAGTTACCCTCAACAGAAAGGGTAGCTTTGCTATGCAAAAACACCTCAGACCGATATGCACACAGACTTCAGACATCACACAACATAAGTGTCCACTAGGTGGGGAGGTAGGGTTGGGACTCTCCTCACTTCAGTGCGTGCAGCCGCATGGAGCAGCGCTTATCACCTCCGTTTGGACAGGGGAGGGAGATAATGGATTACAGGGCACATTAACTCCTAGAAACGGTTCCACGGCCTTCACCGGTCACAGTACCGCCCAGGCTGGGATAGGGAGAAAAAGTTTCCATAGCGACTGCAGCATTCCACATTTCTTCTGAGGGGGGAGTTTTCACTTCAGCCTCACAGGCTCCAAGAGCACCAGATTCAGATAACAACTGTTTTGGGGACAGACAGAGATACTTTCCTCTCTGCCTTAAAGTTCTGTTGGTCTTCAACCCCTCTAGATCCAATAATGGCATAATTAATCTATCCCAATCCGTGCTGATCCGTCAACTCTCTCCTTGATGGAATCCGCCTTCTGTGCCAGAGCCTGATTCTCAGCCAAAGTTCCAAGCTTACGACTGATCTCGACAATTATATGAGTTTGTGCGTTCACAGCCTGATGCATTCCATCCCTGAGCTCCGGGATTGAGCCAATATTCCTCGAAAGCTTGTTAATTTTCTAGTATGCCAGGTAACCGCTCAGGCAAAACAGCAGGAATCCCGACACCAAAACGACGAATATCCAGACGTCTTCAGAATCCTCTACATACAGTTGAGAGAGGCTTATCAGGCTCCACTGTTTCCAGGAGTCCATGATATACCCAGCTGGCTCTGTCCCAGAGGGACATCCAGGAGCCCCTTCTCCCGTTCTCATTGTTGAAAAATTTTGTCAATCGCATTGAGAGACCAACTGACCAGATCCATTTTTAATAATTTCCAGTTTCCAGAAAAAAATGCAGAAAGCGCCGTGCACACAAAGACAGGACAAAGAGCCTTGGGATGGGGAGGGAGGGAGAGGAGAAAAAAATCGTCTGTACTCTCCAAAAGCCGGAAGAAGAAGATACCGGGTGGTGTAGTCCGCTAGAATTAGGAAGAACTGATATCCCTGTGCACTTCTGGGAAATGGACAGATTATCCATCCAGAGGTATTTGAACGGGACCTCCATCAACAAGAGGAATCGCAGTGGTGATCATGCTGTTGATGCAATTGACATTCTGGGTAGGCCACACACCAATGCTGGACATCTGCTCAGATGCCCGGCCAATAAAAACGGTCCATCACCCGACAAAGTGTTTTTTCATATCCCAAGTGTCCGGCCATGGGGTTGTAATGAGCCGCCTGGAAAAGTAATTCCCGACGGCTTTTAGGCACCAGCAATTGGCTGATGTCTGTGTCTCTTTGGGTGGCACGGCTCACCCTATAAAGTCTATCCATAGTCAATGCAAAAGGGTGCACCTTACGACCATCAATTGACATCACCTGGTCAAAAGCTGAGCGCAGGGTATCATCACAAGACTGCTCCAGCGGGAAATCTTCAGTAGGTTGGAATGGGGGAACGACCAGTCTCTACAAGGAATCTCACCGTTTCTCCTCTGCCTGGAGAAGCATCGGACATCCTCTCGTCACCATTGAACACCCCCCTTACCCTACAGCTGACCAATGGTCGTGAACACATCACTACACATTGTTTCACTAACCCTTTGAACCCCGGCAAATCAGTACCCAATATCAGGGGGGGAGACAGGCAGGACCTAACTGCAGCCTGAATCATATGTCTTTGACCCTTAAAGTACATTTCTAGCCCGAGTGTGGGATATTCATACATATCACCATGAATGCATTTAATGAACAACCCTTATTCCTTCCCCGTAGCCTCAGAATGAGCCAAACAATGGTGCACAAGGGTCTGGGATACAGACGGCATTCCAAATCCGCTAGAGTCTGGTGGGAGCACCGCCGTTGCTGCTTGTGCCACCTCGGTTAGCAATGGGAGTAGCCGGATCCCCCACTTCCTGCTCTGCCACTGGCAGGCGGTGGTAGTGAGCTTGAACATCTCCAGGAATGCTTCCGGGTCATCCGCCGACATCATCTGGTAGAGCGTGATGGTGGAAGGGGGCAGTGTCGTGCGGTCAGAGGAGGCAGGAGAGGCACTTCCTGTTTCAGTGAGTGTGTGCGGCGCTGCACCGTGAGAACAGAGGAAGCTCTCATCTCTACCTCCAGAGAGCGCAGCGTCGCACACACTTGATACAGAGAGTTGGTGCATGTGCTCTGCCTGAATCAGTTAGTGTTTGCAAGGCGTGAGCAGAGACAGGCACGTCTCTGACTCTTCTACGTTGGAGCTGAGCTATGTCTGCCAGCAATTGCACCGGGGCAGCGACTGGCTGAGCCTGATGGCTGGAGGCAGGAGGGGCAGTTTCTGCATACAGAGCCCGTTACACCAGATGATGTGCTTGTGCGTGTCCCCCATATGGACCAGTGTCACCACTGTAGAGATCTGAACTGCTAAAGGGGTCGTGTGCGCGCACGCACGCACCGACAGTCTCTGTTCTTTACGCCGTGTGTAAGGCCAGCTCTCAACTGTTCAGCCCCATCTCGTCTGCTCCATCTCAGCTCCTCTGCTCCCCTGCAGAACTCCCCCTCCTCAGTCTTCTCCTATATTTGTTGATAGCAAGTCGATTATTGATGTGATCTAATTGTGTCCAGCCGCGTTCCTGTGGACAAACCCGCTTCCATCTCTCCCACAGACGTGCTTGTCCCAGCTCACCGCCACAATCTGAAACATTTAGTGTGACTAACATGCAAAAAAAAAAAGAAATCAGGAGGGGTAAACACTGTTTCACACCACTAGAAGTAACAGGCACACTGGAAAGCCGTAAATGAACTCTGTTCATGTTGTTAAATAGTTTTAGGGAAGCATGGGTGTGTGGCTTTAGTCATCCAGACCCTAAACCCACAGGAAGGGGTTCGTTTGTCACCACGAGTCAGTGGGAGCACAGGAAATTGAGGTTATCTAATGCCAGATCCAACTGTGTGCTCTGAAGCACAAGCTGGCACGAGAGAAATGTGAAGCAGGAAAAAAACAACGGTGACGCAACAGAGAAAACCATCTGCCCAGCATCATTTGTTTACTTCACTCAGCTGGTTTTGTTTGTTGTTATAAATAACAGAACATGAAAATATGAAGATCGTGTTTGCTGATAATCTCCTTTAGAGGGATTTAGAGGCAGTGATGCAACAGGGTCAGCCCCGGGAGCTGCTGGGTTTCGGGTGACGTAACTAGAGCTGTGTGTGAGTGTGTGTTGGTTTCCAGCTATCTCCCTCACTAACGGGTTGGTGGTTACTACCATCTCAAACCTCCTTATGGTTCTGATCACAGAGCCATGCCCAAAACACGACCACAGCGACTGTTGATCCCTGATTAGTTAGGGGGCGGAGTCACTGGTTGCTCCACCTGCGCTCGATACCTGCAGCCTTTTAAAAAGCAATTAGTTAGATTTACTGATTACTTCTTCAAAAAATAACAGTTACAATTTTATAAAAGAAACTAATTACCAGCCAAAGGAACTATTTCATTCACTTTATCATAAAAATATACAAGAAAACCTGGATCCCCTCTCTATAAAACTTTATATTTACTATAAATTACTACAAAACTAAAGTATAAATGACTAAATAAACTGGAACACCATGAAATGTGTGTCTATATGTTTATTAAAAAACTAGATTACTGAAATAAATGGGCCCTAACAGAAGGAAACATGACACTAATCTAAACTATCTGTGTGTGATATGAAACAACTAAAAGTTCTGATTGCAAACAGAAGTGTTTGGATGGGTCTACATGACAGTGATTCATAAGATTAAACAACTGAGCAGAAAAGAACTTATCCACGAATAAAAATACACTAGAATGATGTTGGTTCTGATCCAAAGCCATCAAGGGTTTATTGGTTCCTGCACACAGCTCAGGTTGAGGTCTAAACTTGAAGCTGAAGCTGACCAGAATGTCCTCCGAGATGCAGCTGCAGCATCTTTCTCACCACGTTTACCTGCAAGTGTTTGGGTTTCTGATCCAATCGGACCGGAGAAAGCAAATGATTCAGATGTTCTGTGGCTGTCTCTTGCTGCCTGACACGACCTGATCCGAGTCTTACCCGTCTTACAGATGGGACAGCAGTGGTTGGGCTGATATGTGGGGTTGACACAGTGTGGTGCTGGACAGTCAGAGATGCTGCAGTAGACCTCTCTGTTGGCCTCGCAGCGGCAACGCTCACACCTCGACAGCTAAAACACACAAGAAGTTCTGATCTCAGCGTTTCTCTTCTACAGGCCCAAATGAAAACAGACTCCTGTCTCAGAGGACAGGAAGACATTTTCTGTAACACACATGTCCTCGTTAGATGTAATAACCGCTGTCAGAGCCTCATTTATAGAGCTTGTTTACACACACGACAGGCTTTAGTCACAACCTTTGTGATTTATAATTCAGTTTGGTGTATTTGTGAAGCTCCAAATCCCAGCCAGAGT